AAAAGAAAGTTGAATCCTGGCCAAACAAGGCCTTCGAAATTGAAAAATGAATCCTTATGAACCAAATTGAAAATAAGCTAAAAAGAACAGCATCGAGCCACAAGATTAAATAAAGTGTTTCTTGGAAGGAAACCCAAGTTTTATAGTTTTTTTAATATAAAAAACTGGTATTACACATTTACACACACGTATAGACCTTATTAAATGGTCGGATTGATAATTTTTTTAAAGTAAACGTACATATATGATCACTACAAAAAACATTTGATTGATAGGAATTTTCGGCCGGGATTCAACAAAACCATAGAGAATTTGGAAGGGATATGCCAAATCCGTGCCAAAAACCTTTTGGCAGGAGCAATTTGGCATGAAATTATCGGTCAATCCGGGCAAATTCTGTACCAATCCCAAGATTTTTTTGTAGTTGAAACTCCGTACTTTTTTTGGTATAGGGTTCGAGTGGGAAAGTTAAAAAACCAAGCCTGTAGAGCCCGCCCTGCCCGAGACATTTGGGACGGGTCCGCCCCGCCTCGTATTGCAAATGGGGTAGGTCCAATTCAACCCGCCCCTATTGTAAATGGGACGGGTCCAACCCACCTCGTGTACACAATTTGACGGGTTTGAGTATTAGTATTGACCCGTGCCGCCCCGACTCGTTCCGACTCAACCCGCTCAATATATAAATACACAACGTTTTTAAATTATTCTACCCTACAAATATGTGTGTGTGTGCGCGCACGCACGCGTGTGTGTAATAATTCATGAATTCATTGGTCTTTTAATATATTAATATTTAGATTTTGAACGAGATTAATAGTTAATTGTTCATGTGTTTTTTTTATTTAGCATTTATATATTCATAAATAAATAGCTAACTAATTAAGTTTAAATAGTTTTTTCTTAATTTTTGAAACTTTTCATTTATTATGACTTTGATTTATTATATTTGTTATTTATTGTTATGTGAAGATAAACTTTATGTTAAGTTCAAACTATAATGGCTCCACACAAATAAAAATGTGTACTAGCTAATTAGGTTACGGCGGGGCAGGGTGGATCCACCCCATATGCGGCGGGTCATGAGTCTACATCTAATGACCCGTGCAGATCACGGCCGGGGTGGGACGTGTCCACCTACTTAAGTCACGGGGCGGGTCCAGGTCTTGCACAACACCACCTGCCCCACCCGTTGCTATGCCTAGATTCAAGTGGTTGATTGAAAATAGTAGAATGGTCTATATGACCATTTTCCCTTGGTTTTTATATATATGCATCATTATAAGAGAATAAATTAACAAAGGATTGTGTGTCTAGAAATTATAAATACATCATATATATATATATTTATATATATATATATATATATATATATATATATATAGATTTTGGTTCAAGTGAGAAATTCATCTAATGTAAGAAATGAGAAACAATCTACACCCTTAGATCATAAGCTATATCACGTTAGCAATAAGGCTAGATTAGTCATTTTCCAATTAGCATTAATTGATTGAATTCAATAAGAAGATAACGTATCTCCTTTCCTTTTCACGTTGACCAAGCTTTCATTGTTACTTTAATGGGTCTATTATATACATTAATATTATCTTCTTTGATCGTCTTCTCCAGCAGGTTCTTCAATAATCGAGGCTTTGACCTCTTTAATGGAACTCGGTTCATCAGTTATCTTGCAGCGAAAAAATATTGCATAAATTTGCTTATGTAGTGCACGGATATTGCATATAGTGGTTGATGTAGTGCATGAATCTTTAATGTTAGCGCAACAAAATGTAATCTGAAAATGCACTTTGCATATTTTGCATGGGTACAAAGAGATACTGCATGTTGTGGTTAATGTAGTGCACAAATATCTGAAACTAGAATATTACATTTTGTAATGCGATAATGCAAGTTGCATAATAAATAGACATTTTAGCACAATTGGTGGTATTATTGCAAAATATGATTGTGAACAAGGCCTAAAGTACTGCAAAATTAATTTTCATTTTCAACTGCATAATAAGTTTCGTTGTATGCACTAATATAAATAGAGAGATGAATGTGTGTTAATGTTTTATTTTTGTACTTGTATTAGAGCACTTTGAGATGAAATTAGTGCATATATATTATGTGTTTAATGCAGATAAGAACACTTATGTTGCATTGTACTTCACAACCGTGATTTAGCTTTTCCATTAGGCCCTCTTTTTTAAAAATTATATTTTCTCTTTCCTAATTAAGCTTCTATTGCTTTCAAAAAAAATTAAGCTTCTATTGGTGCACCAAATTACACGAATGTTGCACTATCAGTATAGTCTTCCTACTTCCTTAAATTAACCACTAACATTAATAGCTTTCCATGAATGGGAAGTTGTTTTTCCTTCCCCAGTGCAGTACGCATAAATCATTAAAGCCACCGAGATTATGGAATATTTTTTATTTCTTCTCAATCGTGCAACAGTCCTTCCTTTTTAATTACCCAAACATTTTACTAATAAACCCTTCACTTTAATTACTTGACATAATTCGTAAACTGGTCTTATTTTCTTTCCTTTTAAATATTGCATCTACTATCTCAATTGTGTACCACACGATTGCTTTAATCAACATACTAGATTGCTTCTTACTTCTCACCTAATGATGTCTTCTCACCGGAACCGCTCCCTATATATATATATATATATATATATATATATATATATATATATATATATATATATATATATATATACTCCTATTTTTTGTTTACTACACTTCCTTTTCGGGGAAGAATTTTAATTTTTTGCTACACTTTCCATTTTTCGTAAACCTTCTCTTTTAAAAAATACTTAAGAAATAATTACATAAATATGATCAAAATAAAGATGGTTTACAAAAATATGACTAGTTACTAAAGTAGTAATGAAATCATAGTAATTCATGTTCAAATTTTGAACTTAAGTTACAACAACACTATGTTGTAGTAATGAATAGTCATATTTATGTAAATAAGTTTTATTTTAATAATATTCTTGTACAAAACCCAATACTTAATTGTCATTACTTTTTCTACTTTATGATTATGACACTACCGGTAGTCTCAATATATATATATGTACTCCCGAGCCACCAGAACACCATGCCGCTGGGAAAAAATAAACGTTTCGGGAAGAAAACAAAAATTAATTTTAGGGAAGAAAACACTATCAGAACTCAACATAATTTTTGTCATCATTTTCATTAATTTATTTTAATTAATTTTTTTTATTTTCCGAAACACACCCAACAATACTCAAATTTTACCTAAATAGAAAAAAATAAAAATTGATTAAGCTTCAGAAAGATGATAATACTTAGATAAAAAAAAACTTATTAGTAAAAGAGTAAATTAAATTTAACATAAAAAATAAAAATCTGAAATTTAAAAATATAAAAACCATATTACAAAATGTAAACATGATGGAAGAGTTGTAACTTAAAGTTAAAAATAAAGAAAATGAATTCAAATTTTAAAAAAGAAAACATAAAAATTTAAAACCTAAAAAAATTAAGAAATAGAAATCTAAAAAAAATGTAAAGTTTTTAAAATAGTTAAAAATGTGGAGTTTCTTTAGAGTACAAAATATGTAAACTAATTAGATTTTTAAAATAAACATTATTTTTATTTTAAGTAGGAATAAATAAAATTAAGAAAAAAAAATCCAAATTAATAAATAAAATTCGAAACGTTAAAAAATTCAAATGGAGTTTTACAAAAAATACAAATATAATTTAGAAAATTATAAAAAGTCTAATTGTTGTTATTGTGACTTTATTGTTTGTTCTACTGGGTGTTATTGTGACTTTATTGTTTGTTCTACTGGGTGTGGGCACATCGGTTTTTATCCTTTTCGATTCAGTCCCGTTAGAAACAGAATGGAAGGATAAATTCAACATAAAAACCACACTAAGGTTTATTGAATTTTATAGTTCAGGTCAATTGTATTCGATTTTTCACGATTTTATCTGAGTTCAGTTTCATTATATTGGAAAAGAGTGCTACCAAACTCAAACTAAATCTCATACACTTTAATTTGGTTTGCCATTGGTTTTATAATTAGTTCAGTTTGGTTCAGTTAGGATGTTTTCTTTTGGACTGTTTTCAGTCCCAGACCAGACCAGACCAGACTTAAACAGACCAGACCAGACCAGACCAGACTTAAACAGACCAGACCAGACCAGACTTGGATAGTTATAAAATACACAGAGACCAGACATTTACCAGACCAGACCAGACCAGTTCAGACCAGACCAGACCAGACCAGACTTAAACAGACCAGACCAGACCAGACCAGACCAGACCAGACTAGCAAATTTCAGTCCAAAAGAAAACATCCTTAATCAGATTAATATGGTCACCGCTAGTTGCTAGTATATACTACGTATAATGAGGATACTTCTCTAAAATAGGGGTAATTACCTTATACTCCGTATAATTTTAATACTACCTCCGTCCCATTTTATGTGTCCTACTTTGACTTGGCACAATTATTAATGAGGTGGTTGAAAAAGTAAAAGTTGTGGTTGAGATTTGAGTATAATAAAGTGACATGTTATAGACCACGTATTTCTTTTCAAAAAGTGAGACATTTATTTTGGGACAACTCATAAAGGAAAGTAGGACAGGTAAAATGGGACGGAGAGAGTATATATATAATATGATAAAGATATATACTCCGTACGTAGTATATATTGATATTAAGAAATTGAAAAGCAATTTGGAATAAGTAAATATATTAGGGACGTCGTAAATGATTTTACTTTTAATTTCGGACATTGTAAACAAGTAAAAACCACTAGGGCGACACATAATTATCAGTTGGGACTTGGGACTAGGGAGATTCCAAATCCTAGTGTAATAAATACTCGTAACTAGTTTCCGCATCCTAGTATAATTCCTTTGGTTTTTGGAAACTAAACAATTTAGAAAAACAGCGAATAAGTCGTAATAGAAGCTGGCAATTGGCAAATACCAAGTTTTAGAAGGAAATCCTAACAAAACGTTTAAGCAGATGATCAATTGCGAAATCTATATATATTTCCTCCTACTTCTCGATCTCCTCACAAATAATAAGAAGTAATTGAAGTGTATTATAGTAGCTTCAATTGAGACGATCATGGCGGCGGCCGGGAAGATGATATTTTCGCCGCTTCCCGGTGGAGGGTACGTCCAGCTGCGGGAGGGCTATTCCAATTTGGACCTCCTCGCCGCCGTCTGTGTGGCTGATTGGGAGGCGGAGAACAACCTTAAAAAATCTTCCTCGCATGCCGGGATATTCCGCGACCGAATCCGTCGACAGGCGGGTCCCGCCGCGGATATCTCGGAGGAAAAGCTGCTGATAGAGAAGGAGATAACGGCGAGCGACTTGAGCCGGAACCAAGGCCGGCTGACCCTCCCGGTGAGAAAAAAGAGAGAGGCGGCGTTCTTGACGGCGGAGGAGGAGGGGCGGCTGGCCACGCGCCGGGACGAGAAGGTGGGCTCACTCGACGACGTGGCACTCATCCCGACCGTCGATGATGAGGTGGTGAAGTGTGAGGTGAGCCTGCGGAGATGGGACTTGGGAGATGCGAAAGAAGAGCGGGAATGCCAGCGTGTCATTCATCCTCAGCCGCACGTGGAACGAAATTCAGGAACGTCTTGGCTTGACGGAAGGGACCAAAGTTCAAATCTGGTCCGTCCGAGTTAACGGCAGATTGTGGTTGCCCCTCGTACAGCTCCCTTTTATGTAACAAACACTTAAACCAAATTACTAGTGGTCCAAATTAGGGGTGTGACCACATCGCGTAATCGGTCGGTGTGGATTGAACCTTTGCTAAACCCGGAAATTATTCAAAAGGTCTCGAGTTATGAAAATTAGGGACAATAACAAAGTCCATTATATTCGATTCGAGTTGAGTTTTTTATAATTTGGGTTTGATCTGGGTACGGGTTGGGCTGGTTAAAGCCCGAACGTGAAATTATTTTTGTCCTTCTATGTATTAAAACATATTTTCAAAAAAAAAGTAATGAAAAATACAAACCGCAAATAATAACACAAATATTAGTCTTAAAAATCATCAAAAATTCAAATCCAAAGAAGATAATTATCTTAATATTTTGTTTAAGATGCATTTAAATAAATAAAATAGGTTTTCTATAAAAATTACCAATTCAAACTTATGGATAAAAATGTGACTAAATTTATTATTGAACGCATTTTTAGTCACTAAAAGTTACTAGGTCATGTTTTCATCCGCCATGATTTTTTTTGCAAACCCACCGTGATTATAATCATATACTAGGAATTATTTATAAATTATATTCATATATTATATATTGATTGAATATTAAAGCTATTTGTTTTGAGTTTTTTTTATCTGGGATGGGTTATAAATTTTAGGGCTCGTTTATGAATCCTAATTTTCAGGTTCAGTCTGGGTTTTTTTATTCGGGCCGGTTAAATAGAAAAAACCTGGATCGAGAATATCATTCGGGCCGCACCAGGGTCGGTTTCTGGATCTCGGTTCGGTTTTTCCCGCCCTTAGTCCAAATTAATTAAAGGAGGTAAGAGAATAGTAAAAGTAAAGGTAAATATAATGGGTACTTTGAAAGTGAAGTAGGAAGTTAATTTTGGGCATCCCAAAAGGAAAGGTGTAAGTTAATTTCGAGACAGAGGGAGTATGTATTTTTTGAGTTCATTAATGGGAATGACAATGTTTTCATTCTATTTGTATTGTTCTTTATTTGGTAGGTTGTGAAATTGAAATTGTAGTTAACAAAATGGTTGTTTCATTTCCACACTATTATCTTTAAATTGAAAACCCATCTGCAGGCAGAAGGTAGTTGCGTAGTTGTATTTAGGGCTGTTAATGAACCGAGCTTTAATCGAACTATTCGAGTTTGAGCTCAGTTTTGAACCTAACGAGCCGAACATAACGAGCTTTCGAACACGAACCCAAGCTGAACTTTAAGTTTGAAAAATCAATCGAGCTGAGCTCGAACATAGTAGTATTCGGCTCGGTTCGAACTCGAGCCTATGTCAAAATTTAAATATAATTAGTATGATTTTATGATTTTATATATGATTATTAACGAAACGAATACTTGTCGAATCATTCGAGCATGAGTCTATTAACGAGCATCACCTAAAAGTTTAAATTTGAGCATCTTTATTGAGCTCATCGAGCGCTCGGTTCGATCGAACGCCTATCGAGCCGAACACGACCCTCATTTGTAAAGCTCCCCAAGCTTCGAGCTCGAACCCGAACGTGACTAATTCCTTACCGCGCTGAACTTGGACTTTAAGTGTTCCGGCTCGACTCGGTTCGTTAACAACCCTATAGTACATTGGAGTTGTGAAAGTTGAGAGCTAATCTCTCAAGGAATTTGGCCACCAACGGTCATCTTCCTCTCTTTCACGCCGATTACCACCGACCGCCACCACTCCACCACTAGCAGAGACTCAATTTGTGGAAGAGGAGGGGAATAAGCCAGTTGCTGAACCGTTGGTGGAAATGAAAGCAAATGATGTACCTCTTATTGAGATTGAAGAAGAGGAGATACAGATTACCCATTACCTCTTTGGAAAGTGATACAGATTAACAACTAAACGGTGTTTGTTAGAAGCAGTTATAATACTTGTTCATTATAGTTAGTTTGTTAATCAGCTCTTTAGCTATAAATACAAAGATAGCTACGATTTGTACAGATTTGAACTTGGCAATAAAACTTCCTTTCTCTAATCTCTCTGACTATCTTCTTCTACTCTAATATTGTGGTCATTACTGTTACTCGATTTACTCCTTTCTATTTCGAGAGTTAAATCCTGTGATTGGTAATAGAAAGGGATATACCTATTGTGCCCGAGACATCCTATTCTGATAAGCCTATAGATGAAGTCACCAACAAGCCCGAGGCAAAAGAGGATGATAAACCTATTGTGCCCGAGACATCCTCTTCTGATGCAATGGAGGTAATGCCAAAGATCAAACCGTGGACTTCTCCATGGACTTCTCGATTCAAGGAAAATAGGGAACGTCTCAAGGAATTTGTCTTTGGAAAGAAATATGTGATCCTTATCATTTCACTTTATTCTACTCAAATCTCAACCACAACTTTTACTTTTCAACCATTTTATTAATAATCGTTTCAAATTGAAAGTGGACAACCAATATGAGACGGAGGTAGTACTTATTTACCCTAACTATTACCTTACGGACAAATAAAACCAAAGTTAATCTTTATTCATTAATCTCAGCTATCAACTCTCAATTTTTGAAAGATATAAAAGTATTTTTATATATTTCCAAACTAAATATGTTTAAACATGTAAAAATAATTACAAAAATTCTAAAAATGTATCAAATTTAAATCAAATATTTTTTAGTTATGTTTGATTACTTTCATTAAAATTTTATTTTCCCACTTTTTCCAATATTTTTTCCAGTTGTGTTATCAATTTATGATTTCGTATTATTTTTTTATTCACATTTGCGTTCTTTGTTTTCAAAAATTAACCCGTGATTAAAATTTTTAAGATTTAGAGCTTTTATTCTCGCTTTTTCAAGAAAATATATTTTAGTTAATATTCTATGTTGTCTTAATTCTAAAACTCTAAATTTATATCTTTTCTAAAATTTGTATGTTGTCTTAATTGTAAAAATCTAAATATTCTTAGAATCTATAATTTTCCATTTTCGTATTTCTAATTTCTTTATATATTTTTATTTTATATTATATTCTATAAATTATATGATAGAGTTTATCGTTTAATTTTAGTGATTTGGGGTATAGGTTTGGGTGGTTTGACTATTTTTAATGAAAATGTATTAATATTAATATTTTATGTTGTCTTAATTCTAAAACTCTAAATTTTCTATCTTTTCTAAAATTTGTATGTTGTCTTAATTGTAAAAAACTAAATATTCTAAAAAACTTAAATTTTCCATTTTCGTATTTCTAATTTCTTTATATATTTTTTATTTTTTATTATATTCTATAAATTGTATGATATAGTTTATCGTTTAATTTTAGTGATTTGGGGTATAGGTTTGGGGGGTTTGGCTATTTTTAATGAAAATGTATTAATATTATAAGTTCAAGTGATATAATTAAAATTGTAAAAATGTATAATTGAACGATACGTCTATTGTATTAGACCTAGCCCATACTAGGCCCATACCAAAGCCATAAAACCAGGTGATCGTTACCTAACTTATAAGATTCATTCTCACAGGACTGGCTAATTAAGAGGGGATACCTAACTTATAAGCCACTGATCAAGCCTATATTTGATCGGTGTGAGATCATTACATATGCACTTAACAAATTGGTAATGTGGACGGGAGAGAGGTTTAAATCTCAAGTTAAAACTGGGAGGTATGAATTTATTAAACCAAGTTCGAGATATTTTGTATCTTCTGCTTGAAACTATTCCTATTCACGAAACTAAAAAAAGAATGATCACGAAACTAAAACTATCTTCTGCTTGTCTGCTTGACTTACAAATCAAGGTAAAGTTTTTTCAAGGGGTTAGTTTTTTCTAGGGCTGGACTCGGGCCGGGCGGCCCGACCCGGGACCGAACCGGCCCGGTCACTGTTTGGCCCGGCCCGGCCCGTGGCCCGGTGGGTCCACCGGTTCGGTTTGGCCCGGCCGGGTGCTGGGCGGTCCGGGCTCGGGCCCAGGTTTTGGTGAACCGGCCCGGCCGGTTCGGGCCCGGTCCGGGCCGGATTTTAATTTTTTTTTTTTTGAAATTTTTTTAAGTTTTAGGTTGGATTAGGTATTTTGGGCCATTTGAGGTGGTTTGGGATGGTTTGGGGTTGAGGGGGAGGGGTAGGGGATTAAATAGGAGAACAAAAAAAAATTAATTGGGCCGGTTCGGCCCGGCCCGGCCCGGCCCGGTTTGGCCCGGAACCGGAACCGGAACCGGCCACCGGCGGTTCGGGCTCGGGCTTCCCCTTTCCTGGCCCGAGGCCCGGTCGGGCCCAGGCCCGAACCGGCCCGAGTCCAGCCCTAGTTTTTTCTAACCAATAAAAGTCTATTATCCTCTAAAGAAAAAACTCTTGTTAGTCATATATTCATAAAAAAAAATGAGTTTATAGGCGTACAAAACTAGGGAATGGAATTCAGGATAAGATTTTAGTACCCTCAGTAAAAAAAAACTATACACTAGGTAATGAACCCATCAATGGAATTTTTTTTACTGCCCCTCAATAAAATAAAAGTTTATTACATTTTGATAGGGGTGCGAGATTTAGAAATATGAAAAATGATCATTGTACACCATAGTTCAATTTACTAAATTAGGCCACAAACACATGTTCGTGTGAATAACTTCAACTGAGAAATATGTACTCTACTTACAGTCGAGTTATGTTTGTGAACATATTACACATACATAAGTATGTGTTCTAGTTTGTGTAATTTGTACATACACATGCAAAAACATGATTTGTATCTGACATGGGATTTTCTTCACACGGACGTGTTTTTGTTTGTGTACTGATTTAGTAGACATGAACTCTCAGAATAAAAGGGTGTACAAAAAGTTTGTACACCTATCGATATTGTTGAAATATACACTCTATACGAAAAAGAAAGAGACCAATGTATATACGGAGTACTATTTTTATGCAGCTATGGGAGAAGGTGTCTGGGGGGTTGATTTTAAACGTTCTGTAGATCTCAGGTTTCCAGACTTCACTCTTTGAACACGCTCCACCATCTTCACTACATCTCCTATCCTTGGCCGCTGTTCTGGAGTCTTAGCGACACAATCTAGCCCAATTCGCAGCATCTCCACCATCTCTTCCTCTATGTTGGGACACCTCAAAAGCTCTACATCAAACACTTCGGCAGTCCATTCCTCGCGAACCACAGAATGCACCCATCT